TGATATGCAAGAAATAGAATTTTAGGCAAGTATAGAATATTGAAAGGTCATGCTCTTTTCTTAGGAATTGCACTCATTAAAAATAAATAAAATTATTTAAAACTTTACTAGGACTTATTTTTTAAATTAAAGCCTCTTGAACAATAATGAGTTAAGATTAGATTGGTTTGCTTCACTAAGAACTGACACATTTGGGGGAGGCGGTCCTCCATGACTGATGATTTTGACATCTTTGCTCCCTAAGAAGAATGTATGTATACATTTAGAAGCATTTTGTTTCAGTGTGTATTTTGAGCATCTTAGATTTAGCCATTTGGGAATAACTTGTCCTTATGTTTAACTTCATATAAAAATTTCAAACACTTATTATTTTATAGGTAGGAACAAGAGTACTCTCTGGATAGATGAAGTGACCTATCTAAAGACTGGAATATTTCATTACATAACAAAAGCTTTATCCAAACATGCTAACTGATGTAGCATGTACAAGCCCCAGTTTTTTTCCCAGATAAGTATAGAAAATTACAGCTTAATGGTAAAGTATATTGATTCTCCATAACTATCCTATATATTTAATTAAATATACACGGATATGTGGTCTCTGAGCTTACAGTCTTGCCGCTGAGATCAGAGCCCTTTTCTACTTCTTGAAAAAGACCAAGATGGTTAAAATGATAGCAACTGCTTGTCAGACTAGAGGGTTTGGAGGATGCAGTTAAGGCTCCATCCCTGATGTGCCTGTAACACTTATTGTCAAAATGTGATGATCCTATGAAATTTAGATATATAATTGATCCAGTATACAGAACTTTAACTCTTTTTGCCTGACTATGAAAACCTTGTTTGTACCCTTGGCGAAATGCCATAGAATTTCCTTCTTTGTGCTACTCCAGGAAGGGCCGTGTCATGGGAAGGGGAGCACACTGTGGGGGCAGCAGGTACCAGGGGAGTAGCTTGGTGTCTCGCTTCGATTACAGTGGACACACTCGACACCATTCTGATTAAAAGGGATTTATTTTCTTTCCATTCAGAGTGTTAGCTCTTTTAGGTTGTTAGTTCGTATGTGAAATTTCATGGAAAATCTATAAAATTGAATCGATTGGGTCTCTCATGAATAGGGAAATTTGTTCTACACATAAGGGAGCTTGTGTTCACAGGGAGCCGTTATCTTTGCGACCTGTCCTAGATGTAGCTCTCAAAGGAACACACGGGCTATGTTACTTGGGTGCGTTCTGTGCCATGGAAAAAAGGCTTATCCCCTTCAGCTGTAAACAGCAGCCACTTCGACATCAGCTCCCCTCTTTTGTTACCAGTCAGAACTCAAGGATTCATCACTCAAAGCAGATTTTTATTGGGAAAATTGACAGAAGGATAGATTTATTCTGTCTGCTTTCAGGAAGGTGGCTTACTTAAATTGTGCACACTGCAAAGGTGATCACTTAGATTAAAGGAATAGGTTCTCCCTAGCACATCACACAAAGTATGAGAAACCAGTTTGCTTTTCTGCCTATGAATACCCAAAAAGAAAAAAAAAAATTTTTTTGAGTTGACATTTATGATGAGCACAATTAATTTGCACACATCTAATTCTATTCTTTCAAAACAACATTATGCCAAGATCTTGGGATGTGATAAATATTAATTTACTGTGAAAAGCATAATTTATGTAAAATATGTATTTTTATAAGTCTGCATTGAATAGAGTGTTCTGTGTTAACAAATCCTAAATGTATTTCCATATAGTGCCTCATGTTGTCAAAATGTTTCAAGAGACTCTTGTTCAATGATATATATTCTCAATTTTTTTGTCATAAATGTCATCTGTTTGAAATGTTAGTGGTCTTGAACTTCGTGTTTGAATTTAAAAGGACATCTAAACTTCCTCGGTCTCAGGGCTAAATCTAGAGTAGATGAATAATAACTTCTGAAAGCCCTGTGTTTTCACACTATAATCACAGAAACAGTGCATGATGATCCCCTTCACGTCAGCTTCCTTCAACGAGAGGTACATGGTGTCCTGAGAATTCAGGCCTTAAAGAAATATGCAGCTTAGATGAAAGATATTCAGAGACTGTCAGGGGCATATTTTAATCTTACTACTGTGCAGCCTCTTATTTTTAACTTTTAATTTCCATCTTCTAGTTACAGTTCTTAAATTGTCAAAATCAGAGGCATGATTTTGCTGTATAGGCCTTAAGAAATCTATAGATTATTCCTCCCTGTTCTGAAACTGTGCCAGTTTTCTGAATTCTAACTTCTGGGTTTAAAATCTCAGATGAAAAAAAGCCTTGTGAAATATAGTGTCAGATTTAACTTGCCTGTTGCCTAAATTTTCAAAAGACCTTTATTAAATACAATGTATAAAATAATCTTATTTTCAAGGAAGCACTACTTGCCGTACAATTAACTGCTAGCTGGTGGCCTGGTATATATCTGGCACTCAATAATTTTTGTTAAACTATTGAAAGAAGGAAAAATTGAATGAACCCAGCAGTAATATAGATCCTTCACTGCATCTCCACCCCCTTAATTTGAGAAACCTAAAGCAAACAATAATAATCTCTAATAGTAACTTCTAGACCAGTAGTCCCAGAGAATGAAAAGAATCTGTAGGAATATTTTAAATCTGGTATTAACAAAAGATTAACTTGATATTAAAAGATACTTCACATAATTTTCATATAATTTGAAACCTCTTTAACTCAAATTTTTTGAAAATCCAAAGGCATTCAATATTGACTGTGGCATAATATCCACCTTTCGATATGTGTGTACTCTTTAATTACTAAGAAGGCTTAAGATAGCTGGGTAAATATATGCCAAAAAAACAAAAATTAAAAAAGAAAAGAAAAACTCAGAATGACATATTTGAGACTCTTCTTTCCTAGATATCACAATGTAATTCCAACTTCTATCTACTGTGTATGTTACAAAAGTGAAATCCAATCTTTTAAATCTAAGATGTTCTTTTTTATTATTACTTATTTCTTTATACGCTTTTTAAACTTATACATTTGCCAACTCTGTGTTGTCTCAAATATTTTATTTTCACTTCAAAATTTGGGAACAATTGAACTTTTTAGTCAGTTGTCATAGAAAAATGAGCCAGAGGACTTCTAAGAAATGCTTCCTTTAGCATCAGTTACCTGCTGACTTGACATAATTCTATATAGAAATGTGTTCTGTTGTTCTTTTAGAGTTGAATTTTTTAGTAAGAACACTTTACTATGTTAAATGTTTATATTTGTTTGGCAGTAAGTATAACATTGGGGAAAAAATAATGATGACTCTCTTCTGATGTAATCAGCTAACCAACACAAACATGAATACACAAAGGGCGGTCATTTTCAAGTATGTGAAAAAATCCTATTCTATAAGGCAAGGCTGAATGCCTCAGAAAAGTCATGGTTTTCTTTGTCTTTCACAGATGGCCATCACAGCAGTGACCCTTGGAGCTCCTCCAGTGGGATGAATCAGCCTGGCTACGGAGGAATGTTGAGCAATTCTTCTCATATTCCACAGTCTAGCAGCTACTGTAGCCTGCATCCACATGAACGTTTGGTAAGGCAGATTTAAGTGGTAAGGGAGATAAAACAGCTAGTTATTAAATCTCTTCCTCTGTCTTTTCCTGAAGGTACACAAGGACTCTGTAAATGAATGCAGAATTGTTATACACACATTACTCTTACTGTCGTATTGTTTTTGTGATCAAGGACGTAGCTGAATCAGATCACCTATGTAAGCCTTTTCAGACTCTCTTTGTCATTGTTCTTCAGTTTATTGTGTTTTATTCTGTGTTTTCTTTATCATAATTTCAGCTTCCTTTGTTACATAAATACACACTGTATTTGAGTCACAGAATTCAGCTATGGCACTACATTATTATCATTATTATTGTTGTTGTTGTTGTTGTTGTTGTTACTACCTGTGGTTTGACGGATATGCTGCAGGGGTCAGAGTGACAGTCAGTAGGGTAAGTGACATGCTTCACCCACGGGCCTTCCCATTTCTCCCTGACTGGCTTTGTCAGTGGTGGCAGCTTTGACCTGTTGTGCCACACTGGAAGGAAATCATGTTTTCTTTACACTCCCATCAGTTAACAGTCATCATGGGAGAGCAGATCTGCAATTTTCCGTATTTTAGCTTTAATTCCACACACTTCAGTCTCCCACCGATACTGTTTCGCCTCACTCTAGTTGAAAACTGCTGGGCTATAGCATGTTACCTTTTTTTTTTTTTACTACTAAAGTTCCCACCCTGCTCATCCCCTACACTTATCCATCCTAGTATTAGTCTTTATTCTAGAGGAAGCAATTCACCTGATGTTTTCCTAGCCTCAAATCAACCACATCGCCAAATTCACTTAATAAACTTAAGTCCATCATTAATGGAGGAAAGAGTACTTCTAGATCATGAGTTAGATTTGGGATGCAGATAAGTGAGACTCAGTCTCTTATAAAATAATATAGCTTTAAAATTTTCCTGGACCTTTAATCTTACAAATGTAAAAGGATATGAAATGTCTAGTTATCATTAGTGATATTTATATAATTTTTCTTTATGTTGAAAGTTGCCCCTCTTTTTTTTCTAATACCCCTTTTTTTTCTTTTTTGGGAAATAATACTTTCTAGATCTCTGTGGTCTTTCCTCTCCTTTGCTCAACCACTAGAAATACAGAAAAGTGACATATATCTTATTCTAACAACCTAAATCATTCCAGAAGTTAAGGGTTCTGAAACCCTTGAAAATACCTATTTATTTAGTCCTAGTGACAGACAGTGTGTGGTCAATTAACCTGTCTTTTAATGAGAGACAAGTAATGGAGACGGAATTAGCCTTTTTATATCATCTCCCAAGTTTGAATGTGTAAATCACAAACTATCTCAAATTTCAGCACATTTTCAGTAAATAGCAGATGTTTTACTTTCAAATTTTCTCTTCTCTCACCTCCTACTTAGAGATATTAGAATGAAAGCTTAGAGAAATATCAACTATTATTACACTGGAATTTCTTCTTGGCTAACATTTTTATTTCTCCATCATCATTTTCCACATCTCTAAGGAACTCATGATCAAATCTACATGTGTCCTATGAGCAAGGAAAGTTTTGATTACACATAAGAGATTTTGGCACTATACTAATATGTTGGAATTTCAGTCCTTTTAAGAGTTGTCCATCTGACATATATTTTTTTCCTCCTGTGTTTCTTCTTTCTTTCCCGATTATGGTCTAGAATTTTGGTTTAGTGTGATTTTATCCCAATCAAATTCACTGCATGGGGGGTGTATCATTAAAGTGCTCCAATGCACACACAAAAAAATGTAAACCAACTACATTATTCCTTTTTGAAAAAGTTTTGCTGAACCAAAACGACATTGTCCACCAGGAGGAAAGATAATATGGAAGGAGTAATCCAGTAGGTTGAATCAGATGCTGTATTTGTAATGTCATTTATCCATCCCAAAACACAAGGTTTTCATTCTTAACATGACCACCTAGCAGATCTTAGAGATTACGGGTTTTGTTTTTAAAAATTACCAAACGAATTAAGTCTCTGGCTGTGTATCCTAATGAATTTTCTCACCAATAGAGAAACTGTTGAATTATATCTAGAAATCATTGTTATTTTCAGTGTTTAACCATTCAAAAAATCTGTTGCTAAAGTGACATTTAAAAATCTGACACTGATTGAGAAAAATTTAAGTATACAGTAGGCACTTATTGTCCTTTCACTTGAAAATAATGCTAATTCCTCACAATTTTCAAACGTAGCTTTTGGCCAGTGCCATACTGAACAGAGGAATGGTTTTTGAAAAAGAAGAGAGCTTTCCTTGTATTATTTTGGGTATCATTTGGCCAAATTAGTATTATCTCTAAAGGTAAAACATGTTAGAAACATTATTGTCATCATCACTTGATATCGCGTTATAAAAGAATGTGTAATTATAAAACGCATAATCCATACATTTCAGTAACAGCTGTCAAGTCACCAGTTTTGATTCTTCAAATTCCCTTTACGGTTTCAACCTCTACAACATAATCACTGCTGTGTCACAGATACACATGCAAAGCCACTCAGAAGTGTGGAGTTTGTCATTAAGCTTTGGAATGACTTGGCAGTGTTTTTTTTTTTAGAAAAAGGATAGAGTCTTTGTCGTCTGGCATGGTTCAGACATAGTCTTTGCACCACAGAGGGAAATAGGTGAAGTAGTTCTGAGAGTCTAGAATTTTAATATAAAGGAAGTTCTGTTGTCTTTTATTTTTAATAACATAAACCTTTACCCCAGTGATTCTAAACTAGTTATGATTTTGCCTCTCGGGGAACATTTGGAAATGTCTGGAGACGTTTTTGGATGTTACACACAGGACGAGGAGGTGGTACTTGATACTGGAATCTAGTGTACAGAGGCCAAGGATGCTGGTAAAAATACCGCAGTGCACCAGAGAACCTCCTCCCCTGCCCCCGCCCCCCAGCAAAGAATTATCTGGCACAAAAGATCAGTTGTGCCAGGATTGTGAAACCCTGCCTTAACCCAAAGCATGATTTTATTCTTAGTATGTGCTACCAATTATTATATTTTCTAACCTTTGAATACCGATGGGTTGATAAAAACATCACTAATGGAAACACTTCAACACTCTTGTCAGTAGACTCCAAATACACTATCATTGGGTATCATAAGTAAAAATAATTAAATAGCTAGTATGTAAGGCCATAACACTTTTTCCCTTTGTGGTAAGAGGGCAGACAGTATTAATAGCTGGACTAAGAGAGACCAAGGGGACCTCTTATCGTTGATCCCTAAATATTCTAAAAGACAACATTATTCACATATCATTGATATCCCCTGTGGTGTATTTATTATGTCTTTGAGTGACAGTAGTTTTCAAGATACTTTCCTTTGTAAAATAATCTAGTTATAAATCTCATTAATTGATTTCAGCATCTAATTTTCTATGAATCTCTAAAAATAACTGACTTTAGGTGGATTGTATTGGTTTCCCCATTAAAACTTGTGGGGAAGAACTCTTTTTTTTTAGTCTCTGAACTCAGTATTAACCCTTTGTTTGTCAAATTGTAAATTAATGCCTATTTTATACCAAGTTAAAGGAATCTAAAAATAATCACTGAGGCAATTATCTTTTTCCTATCTCATTCTGTAATTATTAATAGTTATTTAAATATTCTTCATAAAATGTTTCTCTGTTTCGATATTTGCATAGTGGGAACTGATTTATAAAGTCTCTGTTCTTCAGAAACTCAGCATAAAACACAACTGAAACTATCTCTTTTTCTTTTAGTTTTCTTTTTCCTTATTCTGTTTCTTTTTCTCCACTTCATTACAGACTTTAGCTCTTGAGCAGAAATGTCTCTTCTAAGTTTGGTGTTCTGTGGCTTATTCAGAGTTTCAGACTAGCTGTACCATGGAACAGACCCACTCTATCTTTCTTTGGAGAAAATTTCATGGACTACTTGGGGTATTTTGAAAGTAGCTAATGAGTTTAACAGGTGGCCCAAAGAATTTTTTGGTCAAGCAAAGAGGTCCATGAAATTAAAAAGTTTGAAAGACATTCTTGGGAACTGGGAAAGGTTTAAGGGCATCCTGCCAACTTTTTCACTGAAGTCGACCTTTCATTTGGACTATTTTGATCGTACAGAGGTAATATTTTCAAAGGCATGGCATTGTTCGACCTAGCTCTGAAATGTTGTTTCATTTTCTAGGCCATTTAGTTATCTTTCAAATAACTAGTATTTTAATCCACTGTTTATTAAACACTAACTGATAACAGTTGTTCATTGAACATATAGGATAATTATGTGTTCAGTACTCAGCTGTAAGTTGTGGATACAGAGGTATAAGCTCTATTCCCTCTCTTTGAAGAGTTTACCATATAGATGGAAGTGCAATTGAAGGAGAAAGCAGTGAAAAGCGGCATATAATTAAGTGTTAAATGGCAGAGTACAGGATGTAAGTTCATTAGAGATTCAGAGAGAAGAGATCTTAGAAGAGTTAGAATAGTAAGGAATCATCATGAAAGAGATAGAACCTGAGATGGGCCTCTCAAGATAAAAGAAAGTACCAAGACACCAGAGTTTTACTTCTTGTGAATGGATGCTTGGGCTTAAAGCACCTCTGACTGTCAGCATCATATTCAATCTCAATTTTCTACTGAACAATGTTAACAGATTCTCCAATAATAATATAATAGATATCCATAGGCCATTAATATATTACATGTAAGGAAAAAGTATATTTTAGCTTAAATATTTTTTCTTTACATGTTTCTAACACATTCAAATGCCTACGAGAACACCTTTTAAAGCCTATTATTATCTTGAACAGGAAAATAGCTTGATGTCTTTCTATAAATTACTGTGTCTCCTAAGCAGATGGGTGGGTAACTCCTAAAGTGTCACTTTACAGGCACTGTGATATACCCCAAGAAAAGCAACTTATTTGGACAACTGGTATAATAATCGAGCTCAAAGCCAAGCCTTAAAACCACATGATTCTATAAAGATGATGTTCCTCTTTCACAGTCACCTTTATGTGACTTGCTAATGGATAGGACCTGTAAAGAAAGAAATCAAATAGTCATTCTCAGTTCATTTGTTCCAGTTTAATTCAATATAGTCATTGAGTTAAAGCTTTACATATTGATACTTTGGTGAGGTATGTAATCATTAGCACTTTAAAAATTTTTCATTTACCATTTTGTTCTTGCTGGAGTTCAGAACAATGATCCAGTTTGGTAGGAAGAAGATCTGAGACTGGTTCGTTTCTCTTTGCCATTTTGTGTCCAGAAGGTCAGATGAAATGTAATGTAAAACTGTGGGTCACGACATTGTTTTGTTTATTATATCTTGGAATCTTTCTTACTCGATCAATAAGCTATACCAAAAAATAAAAATAAAAAATGGCAATGCTCTTTTATGCTGCTGAAATCATACGGATGCTTTTAAGCAGTAATTTTTATATTTAGAGATTGTGATCATTTCTCAGTGTCGTATATTGCCATTATATTCCTCTGCGTTTGATGCAAACTCCAACCAACTATGTGCCTTGTATTTTATTATTTGAAAAATGAAATCTGTCAGATCTAAGCGTGATGTATTCTTGGATATCTTGAAATTCTAATGGCTTTCTCCCTTACAAAATGAAGAGTTCTGAAAGAAGGATTAGAAAACTTACCCACTAAATATTTTATGGTTGAATACGGCCTCCTTTTTCTGCTTCTTGCTACAGAGCTATCCATCACACTCTTCAGCAGACATCAATTCCAGCCTTCCTCCAATGTCCACTTTCCACCGTAGTGGTACCAACCATTACAGCACCTCTTCCTGTACACCTCCTGCCAATGGGACAGACAGTATAATGGGTGAGTCTTGGAAATGCCAGTTCTGCTGCCGACAATCAATGCCAGGATTTAATCATGAAAGACCTCTTTTTCCCCTTATTCTTGAACAGCAGTTAGGCAATGAATATTTGTCACATAACCGAATGAACAAACAAATGAACCAAACAGAAATAGTCATTGGCTTGATCATAATTACTTTTATTTCCCCCACAAGAAACTGAAATTTGGCTACTTTTGTGTACTGTCAGTCGTTAGATTGAACAAGGTTTTAAAAAGGCCAAAACCATCTTGTTTCTCATACTCTCAAACAGCAAGCAAAATGAACTTTAATAAGATAAACCTTTGGAGACTAATGAGATAGAGGGTATTACAGCTCTTAAAAGTAGTTATTGACCACTTCCCAAATTCAGTCACTGTGCTATGCTCTTGGCTATGACATGCCACAGTCTTCTGAAGACTGGTTTATGAGAAATTCACGGATGAGTAGTAATGACTAGCGGAGCTTCACCTTCTGAAGAACGCGGCCTTGTGGAGTCCTTCAAGGGAGAAGAAGTGTTTGTTCACCTACAGGAGAGGAGATGGCTAGGCGTCTGTGGGCCAGAAGTCATTTGCTGCTTTTTATCAAGCAAAATACTAAGCAAGTGAAGGCCCAAGCAGAGTGCTGCTGCCAAATGAACTGAGCTGTCATCATCCTCTCACTTTTCATGCTGTCCATTATGGTTCTTTCCCAAGGACACCACATTCGCCAGGAAGAAAGAGTTGGCAGGCTGTCTGGCTGCCCAGGGAAGAAAGAGTTCAGGCTGGGAGGAGGCAGGTACCCTCTTCTAATTTGGCCTCTGACGATCTTTCCCGTAATTCAGATGAGCAACAAAGCCTGATGCTCCAGGGTTTTATTAAAACCTCAGACTTCACCAGTCACCACTACTCTGGTTCTGGCTCAAACCCACACCTTGCTGGGCCTTAGGATGACTTCCAGCGGGTAGTGTGATAAGAACACACAATAAGTTAGGGAGAAGAATGTGTGATAGAATAATCCTGCTTATTCCTCTTAGCTATTTGTAGTTTTTTTTTCATTTTCTTTTGTCTATAGAACTGTGGAAGTAGTATGAATCACTTATGTGGGAGAGTTTTTGATGAAAAAGAAATGTGTTTTGAAATGTTACAAATATAATTCTGCCTAAATAATACACTCCCTGCTTATTCAGTAATATATTTCACCCTTGAGATGAGCCATCTAGCAATTCTTTGCTATCATGTCTCATTAGGAAGCAAATTTAGGAAACAGTTCCCATTTTTGGAACTTTTCATAACAGAGTTTCTACAAATGTGTTGCTTCGGTTTGACCTTGGAGGGCTGTGGACAGAGGTCACATAGGGAAGTTTTGTTAGCTATCAATGCAGATTTAGCAGATTAGAAAACCAGGAAGAAAGAAAGAAGTGCAGAACTGAAAGAGTGAGAAAAGCATATTTCACTTCAATGTGGTCTGGTGCATGGAAAGCCCCTTTCCGCAGTCATGAGGTCTAGTTATAAAGAAAGGTGACCGGTCATTCATCCTCTTACATGGCAGATTTCCTGTCTACTTGTGGTTTGAGTAATTTTCTTTTTGAGGAAGGTATAAAGGTGGAACAAAAGCTAGAGTTGAGGAAAACATACTTAGGCACTGTTTGAAAAAAAATTTTTTTTGTTTTGATTTGCGAAAGAGTCTTCCTGGGAGAGAGGCTCTAGACTTGGGAAGAAAGAGGTATTATGAGACGGCATAATCGTCCTCCATGAGATGTGGTCAGCATAGCCCCGAGCCTTACCGAGCATGAGGTTTGCTTTAGTTAAGGTGGTTGGTTCATCGTTAGCTTGTAGATGAAAAAGAATGTGTACTCTCCTTCATTTGTTCTGGGCAGAGTGGGGGTACAGCGACTTCTACATACTAGTGGGCTCCACTACATAGTAAAGATGGACTTAACTCATTACAGACCACAGGAGCAGGGAGGGTCTAGGAAATAAGTAGTCATGGTAACTCAGCTTTTTGGAGGAATAGATCTTTATTAACTTGCATAAATACAGCTATTACCTTAGGATTCCTCTAAAGGAGGACATTCTAGTAATGTGTCCTCCTTAAGTTAAAATGCAGAGGAAAATTTAAGTATGATAATCAGCTTTAGTATTGCATGGTGTCTGAACAGCTCACGTTTCTTCGCATTTTAATTCTCTTAGATTTTGGCTTAGATTTTCAGAGTGCAGTAGAAGTCAGGATGGCAGCATGTCTGTATAACAAGAAGAGAAGAATTCTCTTCTGTTAGTGATACTTCCCTAACAAACAGTATGGATTAATAGGATACATCTGTAGACTTTTGAAAATATTTGGCATATACTCACTCATTCTGAAATGCAGGAAATAAAGAAATATTACATTGCCTATATCGCAAAGAACAAACAGAGCTAATTAAATAATTGGTAAATAGAGAACACATAGCCTGACACATGTTTAAGATTACACACATGATTCTGTAGAAAATGACTGTAAGCAATACTAATGCTGTAAGAATGGGGTTCAAGCACTAACACATGGACATCACATTTTTCAAGTTTTCTTGGTGTAAAGTTGCAAGGCAGTGCAATCTTTTCATAAACAGCGTTGATGTCTTAGGAAGCTTCTTTTGCAGTTCAAAAGGTCATTGTCCCATTTCTCAATTACATGTTATAATTTGTCTTCCTGGTGATCAGCAGTTGCCCTGCACTGATCATAGAACAACAGAATGCATGTGGAGTAAGGTGTAGGCTCTGAAACTATCAGAAGGTCACCTCTCTGGAGCCATGCTCCCTTGCCTCTGGTTCTGTCCTCTGAATCTCAGAGATGGAAGATGCTCATTGAGGTCTTGGATGGGTTGCATTTGGTTTGGAGGAATAACCATTGTTTCTTGGCTTTTGTTTGTTTTTCCCCTCTAATGTCCAATACCAATTTTTAGAAACCCTTAGAAAGGATAAAGCTTGCTCAGATCATAATGACAGGACTTTTTTAAATGACACATTTATCCATGGAGTTTTGAAAGAATCGTAGAGTGAAATATTTTATTTGTGGTACATAGTCTACTATTTTTCTCTGAATCCTTGCCAGCAAACTCTGAAGATTACATTAGACATTTCTGAATTGGAAGGGTCTTTTAAGCACCCTAGAGTTATATGAATATAATGCATGAGGGGACAGCACGGATGCATAATACCTCAACTGGTGTAGCACCCACTTAGGAAGAGAAGCTAAGTCTGGAGGCTTCAGGAGTTACCATCATCGGAGCCCTTCAAACTTTATTTTTAAAACTCTTCCAGTGTTATGATGCCAGCTGTATCTTAAAAACAATACAGTCCAGTGCCTCTGCATGTGAGTGAGCTTGCATACAGAGAAGGAAGTGTAATAAGTTACTAGATACCAGTTGTAGAGGAAAGAAATGTCTAGAGGATGGTAGCTATATATACTTTTGCTGTCTACAGATACTTCCTTCCTATCTGCAATATCCAAAAGCTCTTCCTGGTCAAAACGATTGAGAGGACTGTCTACCAGAACACAAGCAAGTCCCTGAGACTGCTCAAGGACACAAGTGCCCCAGTTCCCCACTGGGAGATGCCATCTGTGTACTTTACCAAGGTGTGGTCTCATGTAGTTGGAGCTACATACCTTTCTTCTCCTCAGAGGATACTGAGAATACGACCAACATAATGGTTGTAATAACTATTATTGGTTTATTAGTCTTTAACTGGCTGGCTTTTGGCTTTTTATACATGGCATTTCCCGTATTTTTAAACCTCAAACCAAACAGTGTTGAAGGAACAGACTACCAAGATTGATTTAATACAACATATGCAAAAGATTACCCTAGAATATCTATCTGGTTCATGAATTAATCTGGCTTACAACTTTCACTTCTAATGACATGTTTCTATGACATGATGCATTTTAGTATGTGGCTTTTCTGGTAGAAACATGTCCATTTCCCCTTGAGGACTTGGTTTCACAGTAATTTTATTATTGGAGTAATCACATAAGATTCACGTTGTCTTTCATAAGAATCTCAAGCTTCCAAATACAGTTGAGTGGTGAATAGGCACAGAGCATGAGAGTATATGAATTTTATCCAGCAGTGTCATGGCATCCCCGTTACAAACACCACCAATGGAAAACAGTAAGCTACACTATGAATTACAATTGTTATTCCTTTTACGTCTTCATGATGTTCCCAGGCTTGAGGTTATGGCTGTGCAGTAAAGAGGTAACTCATTTTCCAAATTCTGATTTTCAGTGGTGGATCCCCAGGCACCACTCAACCTGGTGTTTTGTTAAGGGTGTGTTCTAATGGGAATTGCCATTTCCCCGAAGATGAGACTGAGTCTAAGGGTGGTCCAACACGTAGCCAAAGATGCCAAACCCTTCTCTCTGCTCCTTCTAGCCAGCAAGCAACAGCACCTGTGTTCAAACCATCTGAACAATGCTTGGGTGGCTGGCAGTGTCAAATCCTCCTACAAAATTACAGTTCCTCTTAACAACTGCTCATCTTCCACTCATATTTATGTTACTGCTCTGCTTAGAAACCGATTATTTTTTTTCTTGAGCAAGAAAAATCGATTAGAGCAAAATAACTTTAGAAATCGACTCAGTCTTTGCCAGGTAGGGGCAATAATTTTTGTCTGTATTTCTGTTATATGGGCCTTTGGGTAATTTCTAATAATACAGATTGGTAAAAATTAGAGCCTCGAGCAATAATCAAGCCCCGTTACATTAAAGCCAAAAAGGTGGATTTGCTGAGCACAAATTTTAATTAGAAGTGTGTTTTATTAAACATGACCCATTACTCAATATAAAAGAAATTATGCCATTTGGGAATTAATAATATATTTACGTTCTGATTATTTATATGCTTTGACATATCAGTCACCCAAATAAAAAGAAACTCTTTAACAGAAGGACCCATGTAGCTTAACATGTTCAAGGACTTTGAAAATGTGTCTTCTCCAGCATTTACTGGAACAGAACAAAAGGCATTCCAAGCGAAAGGGCAAACTGGCCCCAATAAACTGCTTTGAAATTTAAGCCCTTGGGTTTGGCTCTCCAGCTGCTGTAAGGTAGCATGCCTTCGTGGTAAAAAATCGTCTGTTCTTATCAGTGGCTTCCATGAGTAGCCTTTGTAGTTTTCTGAATCATTTTCATGGCAACATGAGGTAAGGCATTGATTCTATTTTTTGTTCTACTTCCTGAGTTTTAATATCTTCCTTTATAAAACAGGCACTTAACAGAAAGTTTAGTTAGAAAGGTGTAGAACGAAAGTAGAAAGTAGTCATAATTATCATATCTTGCCTCTTAGAAAGTGATATTTATGCTATATATAATTTACTTCTTAAATATTCCTAAAATAGTTCTATTAGTTTTCAATTATTTGGTTTCACAAAAAAAAAAATTTTTAAATGCTTATTAAAGAATTAATTTTCTGAAAGCTACTACGATAGCAAACTTTACCTGTAATTGAAGCAATAACTTGTCCTATTTGGGTTTTAGGTCTTTGTTAGATAATATATTTTTTCCAGTGTGACTCTGAACTTTCATTTCATAAAAGTCTATTTTCTAATCAAGCAGATATCACAAATTATTTTGACTAGTAAATCTCAGTTTTTAGGTATATATGTTA